TGGGACTGAAGGATCAGCGCATGGCCCTGCAGTGGCTGCAGGACAATATAGCCAGCTTCAATGGTGATCCCAACAATGTGACCCTCTTCGGCGAAAGCGCTGGAGGGGCGTCTGTTCACCTGCATACATATGCCCGGCACGCCAACAAACTCTTCCATAAGGCCATCATGCAGAGCGGAACGGGCAACATGGAATGGGTGTTTCAACCAGATCCGGCATTTAAAACACGTCGACTGGCCGAACTGCTGGGCGGCGGCGATTTTGGGAGCAACACGAAGGCCCTGTTGGAGTTCCTTCAGTCTGAGAAAGTGAAACCGATTGGTATTTTGGCCAATACGATGAAAGTACTGACTGCGGATGAACGGCGTCGTCACCTGCCGTTCCCCTTCAAGCCTGTTGTCGAGGAGGCCAGCAGTCCGGATAGTTTCATCGATGAGAATATTTTGGATCTGATGCACAAAAGGGATCACGTGGGGAAAATGCCCATGATCATGGGCTACAACTCTGCGGAAGGACTGGCAATGATTGTAAGGGCCAAGAAAAAACTGGAGGACTACGAACAAGATCTTGCGCGAACGGTGCCCCGCAACCTGGTGCCAGACCCACAGGCACTAGAAGCTCAGGAAGCAGCAGCTGATATACGTAACTTCTACTTCGAAGGCCAGGCATTGACCAAGAAACATCTTAATAATTTGGTGGATTTGTTCTCCGACTATCACTTCAGCATGGATCTGCAGATTGCGGCAGAGATCCATGCCAACTGTCAGACGCAGTCGCCACTGTACTTCTATCGTCTGGACTACGTTGGCGGTCGCAATCTATACAAAACCATCTTTCAGAATGAAAATCTTCGCGGAGTAGCCCATGCTGATGATATTTGCTATCTATTCCAGATGGCCGGCGACGATTCTCCGATGCAAAAGGATGATGCGCTCGTCTCGGAGAGGATTTGCCAGATGTGGGCGAATTTCGCGCGGCACGGAAAACCATCCGACAGTTGGAAACCTGTACAAAAAGCCCTGCCTGGGCAGCCCATGCAGCTAGACTGCCTACTCATTGATCGGGAATGCAAAATGCAAAAGAATCCGGATGCAGACCGTATGGATTTCTGGCGCAGCATGTACAAGCGATACAGCCCCCAGTCTTCTGTGAGGGCCAAATTGTAAATTGTATTGAATAAATAAAATCAAAAGCGCTAAAATTCTTTAAGATTCAAATTTTCGTGGAGTGTATTTTAAAACACACTGATCATCGACAATGGGTTAACTGTTACATTACATACCCACTTACATACGTTGCCTGTTTTTTTGTTGACCTTATTAGTTTAAACCTGGTTTTAAGACACAATACAATAAAATGGAGTAATTAAAAGCAAGCTACTTTTCTTGCAGAAAATTTATTTATCAATGGCCTGAAATTATATGGGCAAAGCTAAAGGTTTTAGTTAGTCAGCATTATTCGATGGATCAAAATCGAGCAAAATGAACGATTTTCTCGTACGTTTTATTTGTTTGACCTTTTTCGTAAAAAACCCTTTTTTATGCAAACTCAAGTAAAAGCAAGTATTTCAATTAAACCAGGAATGTAGGCAATTGATTAATTAATCGGATAAAAATATGTGGGCAGGGCTGGGCGTTCTTTCCTCTTCGTTTGTTTTGTTTGCCCATATTCGCCAAAACTTTTTTTTTTTAGCTATTTCGCTATAATCTTTTTTTATGCAAAATCCAATAAAAGCAAATAAAATAAACTGGCAAATAAGCCAGTTCAGTAGAAAAATGATTCATCAATCGTATGGTCAAATGTTCTATATAACTAATAATATTCGACGGAACATCAAAATTTAACAATATGATTTCCAATCCTTGACGGAGAACAATTAAGGGGGTATTTTAATTTTCCACCGAAAATAATGAAAATTTCATAATGTTAACGCAGTTTAGGTGAATGATTTAGTGTGTTTTTTTTAAGTTCAGAGGAAAGATGGCATGAATCTATAAGAAGAATTTACAATCGTTAATATTTTTCGCCATTTACCTCAAGTAGTTGAACTATTTAAATAGAGGGGGTTTTAGTGGGCTAAGTTCAGTTTTACAGCATATGAGACGCTATTGTTGTTGAGGAACCAAAATTGAGGCAAAAAAAACAAAGTAAAGTATTTAAAATAAGCCTGTCGAGTAGAAAATAGATTCATTAATTGGATAAAATGATATGTCCACGGAATGTAAACATCGTGGAATATAGAACTTAAATTCGTCAGTATATTTACGGTATATTTTTAAAATGAGACGGTATATTTTGGTATATTTTTGAGAGTCGAAATATACAAAACAGACCAGTGCTGCCAGAATTAGATGATATATCAAAATACGAATACAAAATATGACTTGTCCGATTTCTCGCTAAAAATTAACAAATATTACAAACAATTATAAAAATTAAAAAACAGAAATTGTTTTGTAGTAAATTTTAATCGTCTACTTATCGGGTACACTAGAGGGACACGTGCTTGCTGGAATGCTCCTCCGTGGATTTTTATCCCCTTCGGCAGTTTAATGTAATTCGTTTGATAAAATCTTAAACAAATTAAGTGAATGTGAAATTCACAAAATTTCATAAGGCATGGTTGGTACTCCTAAAAGAATCCCCTATAATCGAAAACAACATCCGATGCCTCCAATTGAAATGCATTTGCCTGTTACCTGAAAAAACTCTTTGTCCTTTCCACCAGAACATATTCACTGATCAAAAACAACAAAGAGGACACTTCAAATGAAAATGGAGCGAAGAGGTAATACGAGAAAATACAAAAAGTGAAGAAATATATACATATAATAATAAAATGAAATATGAAGAAAAAACCAGTAAACAGAGTAAATAAAAATTGAAACACTCACCTGTTCCCATTATTATATTGTGAAGCGCTGAAAATTACTTGATGTTTCCTTTTATTGCGCTGTTGTAGTTTGTTGTTGTAGTATGTTTTTGTAGTTTTTTGTTGGTAGTTGGTAGTCACACACAAACACAAAACCATAAAAAAAAATACAAAATAAATAGTAAATTCGTGTCGCCTCGTATTCCTTGCCAGTCCTTTCAACATTAATTTTACTCGTTCGCACTTTCACTCACAACATGCACTTTTCACTTGATTTTCTTTTTAGATTCCCTTTAGCTTATTTATTTTTTTTGTTATTTATTTATTTTGAATTTTAATATTTATTTATTTGTATTTTAATATTTATATATTTTTTTTGTTTATTTATTTAATTGTAGTTATTTCCCTTTTATTATTAATTTATTTTCTTCAAATATTTATTTGTTCAAATTTATTTTTATTTCTGTACCTATTTATTTAAATGTATAGTTTTATTTTATATTTATTTATTTTCATTTAATATTATGTTATTATTTATTTTTGTTATTTTCATATATATTTACTTTATTTATTTTTGTAATTTATTTGTTTATTTTATTCTATCATTTATTATTTTTCTTTTATTATTTATTTATTTTATTTATTGTTTATTTTATTTATTATTTATTTTTTTTATTTTGTATTCAATTTTTTTTTAGGGTTTTATTATTTATACACATATAAATATTACATATTTTTATTTAAATTTATATTTTATTGTTTGTATTTTTTTATTAAATGTATTTACTTATTTTTTTATTTAAATGTGATTATTTTTATATTATTTATTATTAATTTATGTTATTTTTTTTTTTGTAATGTGTTTATTTAAATGAATTTATTTTTATTTTAAAATTTAGTTTTTTTATATTTTTAGTTTTTTTTTTAATTTTATTTTTTTTTTATTTACATTAATTTATTTTTATTTTATTTTCACTTATTTTACTTTTGTTTATTGATTTATTCCTTTGATTATTTATTTAAATTGATTTATTTATATTTTATTATTTGTTTTTATTATATTTTATTAATTATTTATTTAAATTTATTTATTTATATTTTATCAATTATTTATTTATATTTATTTATATCACTTTATTATTTTTAGTTTTTTTAGTATTTTTTATAATCTATTTATTTTATTTTATTTATTTCTATTTCATTATTATATTTTTCAATTGATTTATTGTGCATTTTATTATTAATGAGTTTCATTTATATTTTTATTAAATGGTGATCACAAAGAAGGAATATTTAATTGAAGGGCGCACGCGCGCACTTTTCGAAACACACGATGTAGTTGTCCACTTTTATGACCGTGATGGACCGGGGGGGAACTGAGAACTGTGATAAGAGTGCAGCAGCGTCGACGGCTCAAAGCTTCTTTGAAGAACAAGAGCAAAGCTGGTGTCCGAAAGAGCGTAGCGAACGAAAGAGGGTGGTGAGTGGGCTGCAGCAGTTCAAGATAAGTGATAAGAGCGCAGCAGCGTTGGCCGCTCAAAACTTCTTCGAAGAACGAGAGCGAAGCTGGTGTCCGAAAGAGCGTAGCGAACGAAAGAGGGTGGTGAGAGGGCTGCAACAGAGCAAGATAAGTGATAAGAGTGCAGCAGAGTTGGCCGCTCAAAGCTTCTTCGAAGAACGAGAGCGAAGCTGGTGTCCGAAAGAGCGTAGCGAACGCTTCGGTCTCTGTTAGTTACGCTCTCATGTTCTTTCGCTGTTAGCTCGCTCCTAAATTAACAAGCGTCTGTACAGAGAAGAGAATCGCTTCGACCTCTGTTAGCTTATGCTCTCATGTTCTTTCGCTGTTAGCTCGCTACTAAATTACAATGCCTCTGTTACCAACTGCACCGTAACTTTCCCTCCCAAATTATAAATTTCAATTACATTTTAACAGCTGTACACATGTCTGCTATGATAATAAAAGGTAGCTGCTATGAAACTATCAACAGGGGCTGTTATGAAACTATTAAAACCAGAATTTTGAATTTTGGGGTATAAAAATACCCCATAGCACTATGAAGGGTTAATCGCAGCGTCAGCTGTTTCGGCCAGAATTTCGGTTTCGGTTCAAAGTCCGTCCACCTTCGCGAAATCTGGTTTGATTGTTTCTTATTGCCGAATAATTGTATTGCGATTAGATAGTCGGTCTGTCGAACCGGGCGGGCTACGTAATTTGGGACAGCAAAATGCAACGGACTGGCGGCAAATCCATTCTCGTGAGACTCTACAGCAGCATGAAGGTAATTTCATTTGTTCTGCTGCAGCATCTCTGTTAATTAATGGGATTTTTTGTGATTGCCAGGTGAAAATTCCAGTGAAGCAGGGTATTGTTGTGGGCCAGCAACAGAAGCTGCCAAGTGGCCTGGAGTACAATAGTTTCTTGGGGGTGCCATATGCCGAACCACCTGTTGGTAACCTCAGATTTCGAGTAAGTGCTTTCCCAACATGTAACAGATATTTATAACGTAATTTGCACATTTAGAGCCCCGTGCCGCAAGAGCGCTTCGAGGAGCATGAGCTGGACTGCAGAAAGGAGAGAGACGTGTCGCACCAACGCGATCCTTTCACCACAGAAGTGGCTGGCTCTGAGAACTGCCTCTTCCTCAATGTGTACGCCCCCAAGGGCAAACGATCATCGTCGCCCTTACCCGTCATGGTGTGGATTCACGGCGGTGGCTTCATTTTTGGCAATGGCAACAGCGACTTGTGAGTGGAACCGTTCAGAGCTGCTCGGAGTAGAGCTAAGCTCTAAACTAAATACTTTCAGCCACTTTCCAGCCAAGCTCATGGAGCAGGATGTGATTGTGGTCACCCTGAACTATCGCCTCGGTGCCCTGGGATTCCTAAGTTTGCCGGAGGAAGGCATACACGGCAATATGGGACTGAAGGATCAGCGCATGGCCCTGCAGTGGCTGCAGGACAATATAGCCAGCTTCAATGGTGATCCCAACAATGTGACCCTCTTCGGCGAAAGCGCTGGAGGGGCGTCTGTTCACCTGCATACATATGCCCGGCACGCCAACAAACTCTTCCATAAGGCCATCATGCAGAGCGGAACGGGCAACATGGAATGGGTGTTTCAACCAGATCCGGCATTTAAAACACGTCGACTGGCCGAACTGCTGGGCGGCGGCGATTTTGGGAGCAACACGAAGGCCCTGTTGGAGTTCCTTCAGTCTGAGAAAGTGAAACCGATTGGTATTTTGGCCAATACGATGAAAGTACTGACTGCGGATGAACGGCGTCGTCACCTGCCGTTCCCCTTCAAGCCTGTTGTCGAGGAGGCCAGCAGTCCGGATAGTTTCATCGATGAGAATATTTTGGATCTGATGCACAAAAGGGATCACGTGGGGAAAATGCCCATGATCATGGGCTACAACTCTGCGGAAGGACTGGCAATGATTGTAAGGGCCAAGAAAAAACTGGAGGACTACGAACAAGATCTTGCGCGAACGGTGCCCCGCAACCTGGTGCCAGACCCACAGGCACTAGAAGCTCAGGAAGCAGCAGCTGATATACGTAACTTCTACTTCGAAGGCCAGGCATTGACCAAGAAACATCTTAATAATTTGGTGGATTTGTTCTCCGACTATCACTTCAGCATGGATCTGCAGATTGCGGCAGAGATCCATGCCAACTGTCAGACGCAGTCGCCACTGTACTTCTATCGTCTGGACTACGTTGGCGGTCGCAATCTATACAAAACCATCTTTCAGAATGAAAATCTTCGCGGAGTAGCCCATGCTGATGATATTTGCTATCTATTCCAGATGGCCGGCGACGATTCTCCGATGCAAAAGGATGATGCGCTCGTCTCGGAGAGGATTTGCCAGATGTGGGCGAATTTCGCGCGGCACGGAAAACCATCCGACAGTTGGAAACCTGTACAAAAAGCCCTGCCTGGGCAGCCCATGCAGCTAGACTGCCTACTCATTGATCGGGAATGCAAAATGCAAAAGAATCCGGATGCAGACCGTATGGATTTCTGGCGCAGCATGTACAAGCGATACAGCCCCCAGTCTTCTGTGAGGGCCAAATTGTAAATTGTATTGAATAAATAAAATCAAAAGCGCTAAAATTCTTTAAGATTCAAATTTTCGTGGAGTGTATTTTAAAACACACTGATCATCGACAATGGGTTAACTGTTACATTACATACCCACTTACATACGTTGCCTGTTTTTTTGTTGACCTTATTAGTTTAAACCTGGTTTTAAGACACAATACAATAAAATGGAGTAATTAAAAGCAAGCTACTTTTCTTGCAGAAAATTTATTTATCAATGGCCTGAAATTATATGGGCAAAGCTAAAGGTTTTAGTTAGTCAGCATTATTCGATGGATCAAAATCGAGCAAAATGAACGATTTTCTCGTACGTTTTATTTGTTTGACCTTTTTCGTAAAAAACCCTTTTTTATGCAAACTCAAGTAAAAGCAAGTATTTCAATTAAACCAGGAATGTAGGCAATTGATTAATTAATCGGATAAAAATATGTGGGCAGGGCTGGGCGTTCTTTCCTCTTCGTTTGTTTTGTTTGCCCATATTCGCCAAAACTTTTTTTTTTTAGCTATTTCGCTATAATCTTTTTTTATGCAAAATCCAATAAAAGCAAATAAAATAAACTGGCAAATAAGCCAGTTCAGTAGAAAAATGATTCATCAATCGTATGGTCAAATGTTCTATATAACTAATAATATTCGACGGAACATCAAAATTTAACAATATGATTTCCAATCCTTGACGGAGAACAATTAAGGGGGTATTTTAATTTTCCACCGAAAATAATGAAAATTTCATAATGTTAACGCAGTTTAGGTGAATGATTTAGTGTGTTTTTTTTAAGTTCAGAGGAAAGATGGCATGAATCTATAAGAAGAATTTACAATCGTTAATATTTTTCGCCATTTACCTCAAGTAGTTGAACTATTTAAATAGAGGGGGTTTTAGTGGGCTAAGTTCAGTTTTACAGCATATGAGACGCTATTGTTGTTGAGGAACCAAAATTGAGGCAAAAAAAACAAAGTAAAGTATTTAAAATAAGCCTGTCGAGTAGAAAATAGATTCATTAATTGGATAAAATGATATGTCCACGGAATGTAAACATCGTGGAATATAGAACTTAAATTCGTCAGTATATTTACGGTATATTTTTAAAATGAGACGGTATATTTTGGTATATTTTTGAGAGTCGAAATATACAAAACAGACCAGTGCTGCCAGAATTAGATGATATATCAAAATACGAATACAAAATATGACTTGTCCGATTTCTCGCTAAAAATGAACAAATATTACAAACAATTATAAAAATTAAAAAACAGAAATTGTTTTGTAGTAAATTATTTTTAGCCAAAATAAGCTAAATAAACTGTTAAATAAGCTAGATTTCAAGCTATAAGCATTTCAATTATTTTTCAAGCTATTTGTTTTAAATAAGAAAAATCTAGCTTAAAAGAAGCTACAATTTCAACACTGAAACAGACGCCAATTCTGAATTGGCGCTAAAACAGACGCGAATTAAAACGGAATTGAATTGTGAATAAGTTGCAGCAATATGTACGTAAAAAAGCTGGTGCTCGACGGCTTCAAATCGTACGGTCGGCGCACGGAAATCGATGGCTTCGATCCGGAGTTTACGGCCATTACCGGTCTGAACGGCTCCGGGAAATCCAACATTTTGGACAGCATTTGCTTCGTGCTTGGCATCAGTAATCTGCAGAATGTAAGTTCCGCCAGATACATATAACACAACATTATTTAATGCGCCAGAAACACTTTGAAGGTGCGCGCCTCCGCTCTGCAAGACTTGGTGTACAAGAATGGACAGGCGGGTATAACGAAGGCAACGGTGACCATTGTGTTTGACAACACAAATGCCCTGCAGTGTCCGACGGGGTACGAGAAGTGCCGCGAGATTTCGGTGGCCCGCCAGGTCGTTGTCGGTGGCAAGAACAAATTCATGATCAATGGCAAGATTGTGCAGAACAAGAAGGTGCAGGATTTCTTCTGTTCCATCCAGTTGAATGTGAACAATCCCAACTTCTTGATCATGCAGGGCAAGATCCAGCAAGTGCTCAACATGAAGCCCAAGGAGGTAAGTACAGGCGTCTCTACCGCTCTCTTCCACAAGCTGTTTTACTGTCTCTTTGCATGCAGGTGCTCTCCATGGTGGAGGAGGCCGCTGGCACCAGCCAGTATAAGACAAAGCGCGATGCCACCAAGAATCTAATCGAAAAAAAGGAATCCAAAGTGCGGGAGACCACAGCTTTGTTGGAGGAGGAGGTCTATCCCAAGCTGGTCAAGCTGCAAGAGGAACGCGCTGCCCACGAGGAGTACAATAAACTCAAGCGCGAAATCGATTATCTAACCAGAATCTACATCTCTGCGAATTACCTAAAGCAGTGCGAAAAACTGAAACAGTTGGAGACTAGTGAACAAAAGATAAACGATCGCATAGCCAGTTGCCTTTCGACGCGTGACAAGAACTTGGAAGAAATGGAAGCTATTGAAATCGCTCTCAAGGAGATGCAGGAGAAGATTGATGCCGAGATGGGTGGATCGATAAAGGAGCTCGAGGCGCAACTGAGCGCTAAGCGTGCCCAGGAGGCCAAAGCCTCGGGCAGCCTGAAGGCAGCGCAGGGCACCGTTGAACAAGACCAGCGGAAGATAAGTACGGCCGCCAAGAACATTGCCGACGACGAGCGTGCACTCACCAAAAAGGAGGCCGCCATGTCAAAGGTTCAGGGGGAATTTGAAGCTCTAAAAGAGGCAGATGCGACCGATACCAAGGCCTATGAAGCTGCCCGGCGGAAGCTCGAGGCTGTCACTCAGGGTCTGTCCACCAATGAGGATGGTCAGGCGAGCACATTGCAGGAGCAGCTAATAGGTGGGTGACTCCTTTATGCAACGATTACAATCTTTGCTTACCTTACCTATTCTGCTTCGCTTTTCAGTGGCCAAGGAACAGTTGAGCGAGGCACAGACCACAATCAAAACCTCGGAGATGGAGCTGCGGCACACGCGAGGTCTTTTGAAACAAAAACAGGGCGAAACGCAGACGAACGATGCTGCCTATGAGAAGGACAAGGGTCTGCACGACCAGCTTCTGGTGGAGATCCAGAGCCTTGAGCGACAACTGCAAGGCCTCAACTATGAGAGCGGGCAGTTCGAGCAGCTGCGGGAGCAGAGAAACCAACTGCACACGCGCAAGCGTGACCTTAAGCGAGAGCTGGATCGTTGCAATGCCTCTCGCTACGATCTGCAGTACCAGGATCCAGAGCCGAACTTTGATCGCCGCAAAGTGCGTGGCATGGTGGGGAAGCTCTTTCAGGTGTCCGATATGCAAAACTCCATGGCCTTGATGACCGCAGCAGGCGGAAGTGTAAGTACCTCATATAGTTCTGGAGTTGGGAATTTCCTTGTGACTAATATCCGATTTTTGGCCCCCAGTTGTACAGCTATGTGACGGACGATGATGTGACCAGCAAAAAGATCCTGCAGAGGGGCAACTTGCAGCGGCGTGTCACCATGATGCCCATCAACAAGATTAATTCGCATTCCCTCAACAAGAACGTGGTGGACTATGCCCAGAGCAAGGTTGGCCCAGAGAATGTCCAGTGGGCCCTGTCCCTTGTCCAGTACGATCGCTACTATGAGCCGGTCATGAAGTTTTGCTTTGGCAGCGTTCTAATCTGTAAAGATCTGGACGTGGCCAAGAAGGTAAGTGATAGCAGCAGCATAGCAATATAGATTCTTTCCTCACCATTCGTATTCCTTCTGCAGGTCAGCTACGATCCGCGTATAAATTGCCGTTCGGTTACATTGGAAGGCGACTTGGTGGACCCGCACGGCACTGTATCGGGTGGTGCTGCGCCTAAGGGAGCAAACATCTTGGAGGAATTGCACTCTATCCGCGAATTGGAAAAGAATTACAAGAATCTCGAGGTCGAGTTGCAGCGTGTGGAGCAGGAAATGGCGTATGTGTAGAGGAAGAGGCACATCGCAAGGCACAATTTAATTCCACTTAAATCAATCTATTTGCAGTTCCATCGAGAATCTGGCCCACTCGTACAACAAGATTAAAGAGAATCTTGATCTGCGTCAGCACGAGGTGACCATGTGCAAGAGCCGTCTGGCCCAGACCACATTCCAGCAGAACCAGGCCGAGATCGAGGAGATGAAGGTGAAGGTCCAGTCCCTGGAGCAGCAGAATGCAGATTCCCGGGAAAAGCAGAAGACCTCCCAGGTCAAGATCAAGGATATCGAGGCAAAGTTGGCCGATGCCAAGGGGTATCGCGAGCGCGAGCTAAAGTCGGCCACCAATGAGGTGAAGGAGACCAAGCAGAGGGCGGAGAAGTCGAGTGCCAATTGGAAGAAGCGAGAGCAGGAGTTCGAGACACTGAAGCTAGAGATCACTGAGCTGCAGAAAACCATTGAATCATCCAAGGAACAGCACCAGGAGATGGTCGAAAATCTCGAGAAGTTCATAGCCGATCTGGCTGCTCTGCAGGAGAAGAGCTCTAGTGCAGAGTCCGAGGTGGCGGCGCTCGAGCAGGGCATTAAAGTGCAGAAGGATAAGCTGAATGCCCAGAACAAGGAGATGCGAAACTTGCAGGTGAAGAGGGAAAAGATGGAAAAGCAGAACCAGGAACTTGAGCTGCAGGTAAAGAAAAAGGAGAATGAAAAGAGCAAGTCCGGCACTCAGACCAACGAGGCCAAGAGGCGGATTCAAGACCTAGAGGTAAAGTATCCCTGGATTCCAGAGGAAAAAAGTGCCTTTGGCGTGAAGAACACCCGCTACGACTACAGCAAGACGAATCCCGTTGAGGCTGGCAACAAGCTGGAACAGATGCAGGAGAGTAAGGATAAAATGGAGCGAACGCTTAACATGAATGCCATCGCGATTCTGACCCGAGAGCAGGAGAACTACGACGAGACACAGCGTCGCCGCAACATCGTGGCTCTCGACAAGGAGAAGATTAAGAAAATTATTGTGAAAATGGACGAAGAGGAGCAGGAACAGCTGAACCGCGCGGCTACCGAGGTTAACAGCAATTTCAGTAGCATTTTCAGCGCTCTCCTGCCGGGTGCCGATGCCTGTCTCAATCCCGTCCTGACCAACGGCTGTCTAACAGGCCTTGAGATCAAGGTCGGCTTCAATGGCACGTGGAAGGAGAGTCTCGGTGAACTGTCCGGTGGCCAAAAGTCTCTGGTGGCTCTATCCCTTGTCCTGGCCATGCTGAAGTTCTCGCCAGCTCCCCTCTATATATTGGACGAGGTGGACGCCGCCCTGGACATGTCGCACACGCAGAACATTGGCAGCATGTTGAAGCAGCACTTTACTAACTCTCAGTTCCTTATTGTGTCGCTCAAGGACGGCCTCTTCAATCATGCCAATGTGCTGTTCCGCACGCTATTCGAGGAGGGCGTCTCTACCGTCTCGCGGCAGGTCAGCAGATCGGGCACCACCGGTGGCCACAAACGTTGATCTGCTTTCAGTGCTGGTTCTACTAGTTCATTCTCATTTTGAAAATTTAAATCTCATCTACATTCACGAGAGAATTCATGTATGTACATATAAAAATAATTGAATACTAAAAATAAATACTATTTTACCTATAAATTTACTAGTAAAATGAATATAATAATATAGGAAAAATTATATTGAAGAGAAGGACTCTTCGCCGCGCAGGAGAGGGCTGTATATGTACCATATATTTTTTGATCCACAATTTCAAAGATCAAGAATGGCCTTATCTACCAGAAAAGCAAATCTGGTCTTGATCGGATCATTATTTTAGCGAGAATGAAGATTTTTCTCTCTTGACTGTCAAAATTGTATTTCGATTCAAAAATTACATTCAAACTTCATAACGGACAGTGCCCAGTGGCGCGCACATTTCCAACAGGGTCTGTGTGCGATGGCAGCGCCAGCAGCAAACGTCAAACTGACTGACCGACAGAGACGAAGCGACTGACTGACTATGCGGTGCACGTGCAAAAGCGAGACGGAACGTTTGGTGAGACCGTCGAACGCACACACACGGCCATACAAATGCGTTTGTGTGCGCGATAGAAGAGGAAGAAGCAACCCGAAGAGCAGCACAACACTACACAACAATGTTTTTGAGGGAGGTGAAAAAGTGAATAAAATTGCACAAAAATCGAATAAAACCTAAATAACGGCGGTCGCAAAACAAAATATTCAAGATTTCGAGCAAACGCAGATTCCTCCACAGGCTCACAATGGTAATTATCCTCGCCAATTCTTCAAAATCATCCGCGTGTTAGGCGAGGAAAAAAATGTATAGACACCGCTGGCATTTGCCTCTGCCTCTGGCACGGACGGGACACACAGCATAGACAACAATACAATCAAGTGATGTGATGTGATGCCTCCCCGTCAGTGTCAGTGGCAACAATAGAATAGATTCCATTAGAGACTAGAGCTTTTCCTCTGACAAAACTATGGATTATTTTATAGTCTTCTTGAAACTTTCCTTTGTCTGTCTCGACACCCAACTTAAAAAGTTCCCCCACTTTGTTTTCTAGGATCGTGTGACGAAGCCGCAAAAGAAAATGCTCATCACGTTGCTGCGGGAGACCAAGTACATGGAGGGCAAGAAGGAGAAGGAGTGGTACTGGGAGAAGATCCAAGCGGCGTTGAACACCATCGGCCCCAAGAAGACCATTATACAATGGAAGAAGGTGAGTGGATCCTATCCTCTCCATGGAGCAACACAATAGTCTGTACGATTATCCCTTTGCAGTGCTGGCGGGATATGCGGCTGACCACGCGGAAGAAACTGGCGGAGCTGAAGCGCTGCCAGCTGTCGGGGGGCTCGCCGCCCCCCGGCATTGAGCTTAACCAGGAGGACAACGATATTATTGACATTGTGGGGACGGAGTACTTTTACGAGGAGATGAACGGCGAGCTGAAGCCGGAGAACTTCATGTCCGGGTTCGATTATGCGCCAGAGCACCTCTGTGACGCCATTCTGACGGCGGCTGTGGGCCATCATCAGCAGCACATGCAGCACCAGAAGGATCCCCAGTCGCATGCGGTCCAGCAGTCGCAGGATCATCATACCAACGATGGTGAGACGAGCGATGCGCCTGGCTCATCGAATGGTGGCTCGTACCAGGGAGTAGCTGTATCCCAGCTGCAGGCGCACAATGGAGCTGGCGCTGGAGGGGAGCACGGTAACGGCTCGCAGGCGCATCCGGGAATGCCTCAACATCCAGCCTTCCATGGCGGTCTGCATCCACATCTACTGAGGCGTCAGGCCGGCAATACGCCGCTGCCCAGGGAGACGCCGTTCGAGGAGAAGCTGCTGCAGTTCATGCAGGATGCGTTCCCCAAGAAGAGCAAGAAGCGCAAGCAACGCGATCCGGACAAGCTCTTCCTGCTGTCGCTCTACGAGGAGATCAAGCGTGTGCCCGAGGAGATACGCCTGGACGTAAAGTCCGAACTAATGCAGATCCTGAAGAAGTACCAGAAGAAGTCGCCGGTCAAGGCGGAGAAATCATCGGCCTCCTCCACCTCCACGTCCTCGAAGCAGAGCACAAGCAGCAGCAGCGGCAGCTCCGTGACCGCACATCTGTCGCACAGCATGTACCAGCTGCAGAAGAAGTACGACAAGGGCGAGCGGGAGTCCTCGCCCCAGTCGCAGGTGGAGCGGGTCTCTGCCGCCTCGGCCGTGTCCCTACACGTCCCCCAGCAGCTGCCGCTCTTCCAGCTTCAGAAGAAGTACGAGGAGAGCGCCGCCGAGAAGGCTCACCAGCAGCAGCAGCAGCAGCAGAGCGAGCAGCGCAAACATGTGGAGGCGCATCAGCAGCAGCATGCGGCCCACCAGCAGCCGCCGCCTCCTCCGCCCAACGAGCAGCATCTCCACCACCCGCAGATGGCCCACAACATCATGTTTCCGCTGGCGCAGCTGCGCAACGAACAGCAGCCGCCGACGCAGCAGCACCATGCCCACAATCCCCACCAGCAGCAGCAACAGCAGCAGCAGCAACATCCCCACCAGCAGCAGCAGCAGCAGTCGCAACAGCACCACCCGCCAACGATCTTCGGATCGGCCACCAGCACAACTGCCATGAGCGCCGAGCGCCCGGCCATGTCCTACGAGAATGTCGGATGAGTGTTGAGCCGTCTGTGGGAAGCTACTTGTGTTGCACCACGGCCCACGACGGTGTCACCCACGACGGCAGACCCACACCACTGTTAGCCAAGCTTCTGCGAACTTTGAACTGTGTGCAACCTTACCCTAGGTTCTATTCGTCTAATCCCTATGCTAGCCTATACCTAAGTACGATACATTGTCTGAATGTAGAGCCATGATATGATCTGATCCTCATGTAAATGTTCCAGTGGCAATATAGTTAGATCGTGACCCGTGAATTTATCGATGTATACACAAAATGCAATAACTCAAATATAAATGTATCTTTAGACTGTATGAGGAATGGCCACTGTATCTGGTAGCTCCCATCTCTGTGTGGACTTTGCGGCTGGGTAATTAATCCTTCTCCTGGCTATCCTATCCATTAAACTGTCACCTGGTACGAGTACGCGTATTAGTTGACTTGTCTGTTGTTCCCATACTATATGCGTAAGCACGCCAGGTCATAAAGCTTGTCAACCGGCTGACTGATCAGCTAAAAATGAGAACTTTATCTGGCCCCATCGCATGCGAGATGAGCGATCCACGAGCAGAGCTGCAACATAAGCCGAGCGGCGAGCGCTTATCAGTGGCGTGGCGAGCGGCCTGGCGTGGGTGTGTGGCACACAGATCTCAATGGGCTTGGGCATTCTAGTCTGGCAATTGGACGAGTCGGTTCGTTGTCGCTGCGATCTCAAATCCGATCAGATCCTGTCAATCCGGCGATGAGGAAACCGATTCAAGTGCAAGATAGCTGATTAAAACAGAAGAATCAACTCATTCGCCATGGCTGAAGGTACTGTATTGTACTAAAGGGGGGGCTACAGTTCGACTCTACAATGACTATACAAGTTCATCTTAGCATCTGGCTCAAGATCTGGCACTGTTTCAAACCACAAGCCACGCTTGTTGGGGCTTCACATTTCATGTTCTGTGAAGATCATCCGCCCAAAGATACATATCTCTACCGCGCTCTGTTCTTTCAGTCGAGGCCCGCACTGTGCTCTGGTACATGACGTTCATGGGATTCATTGTGAACTACATGATTCGGATCAATCTGAACATCACCATCGTGGACATGATTGCCGGCAAAGGTGAGGCGGTGCCCCTCAATCAGTCCTCCCTCGATCTGGTGAACGCATCGGACTTTGCCTCTCTTCCGGATGACAGCGAGAGGTTCTCACTGGAGCGGTGGTTTCTTGATTGGGCTAATGTGAGTGCGCGTTCGGATATGTGAATCACATGTTAAGTGGTTAATGGATGCAGCTTGTGCAGCGGAATGCGGAATACGGGGCGTATGAGTAACGCTATCTCTCCCTCCATCTCCTTCTCTTTGACAGATTGGCTATGATCGGGAGGGCTTCCACTGGAACGAGAAGCAGCAGGGCGCTCTGTTGGGGTCCTTCTTCTGGGCCCACTGGACCCTGCAGATACCCGGCGGCATTCTGGCCACCAAATACGGCACCAAGCTGATCTTTGGCTGGTCGAACGGCATCGGAGTCTTCTGCTGCTTCCTCATACCGATTGTCTCCTACTGGAGCTACACGGGTCTGATTTGTCTGCGTGTCTTCCAAGGCTGGATAACTGTAAGACGGATAGCCTGGATGCAGGTTTCGCGCGGTTCACTGATCGTATCCTCTTTTAGGGATTGGCCTGGCCCTCGATGCATGTTCTGACCGCCAAATGGATACCGCCCAACGAGAGGAGCAAGTTCGTCAGCGCCTATCTGGGCAGCTCGGTCGGAGTGGCGCTGTTCTACCCCATCTTTGGCTACATCATCGACTGGACCAGCTGGGAGTGGGTATACTATATTTGCGGCGTTGTCGGCACTCTGTGGTTCATTGCCTGGCAGTTCCTCGTCTACGACACACCTGCCGAGCATCCGCGCATCGCCGACTCGGAGCGCAGATACATCGAAAAGTCGCTGGGCGCCTCCGTGCAGAGCAGCAACAAGGGTCCGACGCCCTGGATGGCCATAGCTACCTCGCGGCCCGTCTGGCTAAATGTGGTGGCCCAGTGGGGCGGCATTTGGGGTTTGTTCACCCTGATGACGCATGCCCCGACCTACTTCCGATTGATCCATCACTGGAACATCCGAGCGGTGAGTGGTTGCTCCTCCGCAAGAGAGAGAGTCGGAAGAGAGTAATGGGAGACTTCTTTTCCTCAGACGGGTTTCCTCTCCGGCCTGCCACATCTGATGCGGATGATATTCGCCTATACCTTCTCCATCCTGGCTGACTATCTGCTGCGAACGGATCGCCTGAGTCGCACCAATGTCCGCAAGCTGGCCACCTTTGTCTGTGAGTATTGTGGAGCTCCTCCAGAACTCCTAAATCTCTTCCTTCTCCTTTTCCTGCAGGCTGTGGTGTCAAGGGTCTGGTGGTGCTGGCATTGGCCTACTTTGGCTATAATGCAATGGCAGCCATTCTGCTGGTGACCTTGGCCACCATGTTCCATGGAGCAGTGTCCTCCGGCCCGTTGGCCTCGATGGTGGATCTGTCGCCCAACTATGCGGGCATTGTTCTGGGTGTTAGTGGCATGATTGGAGGCATGCCGGGTTTCATCTCACCCCTGATTGTGGGTCACCTGACCCAGGGTAATGTAAGTTTCTTCCTGGAGATCTTTTCCCAGTTGCTTTTATTTGAATGAGTTCTGTTTTTCCTCCAGCAAACCATCGAAGCCTGGAAGAAAGTGTTCCTTCTGAGCTCCGCCATGCTGACGGGCAGTGGCATCCTGTATGTCCTCTTCTCGGAGTCCACGTTACAGCCGTGGAACAGTGGCTGCCACGCACTGCCCGATGCTGGACTCAAGGAGCTGCAGACCTTAGAGGCGAGGCTGGAGGATGAGGAGGAAAAGAAACCACTCAACAGATCAGATGCCGATCATGTCACGACAGAGGCCGAGGCGGAGACGGAGACGGAGACCGAGACCAAAACAAAATCCATTCAGCTCTGAAATGTGACAATCCAGCACGTCATCCCCCTCTTTATTGGCCCCCAGGTCCGTGTTGGTTATGGCACCCAGTCCGTGGACGCCTGATAGGGCTTATCGGTCTGCGAATCGGGGGAAATATTTGCCCACGGATTTGGGCGAGTTTAGGCGTCTCCAACCTCCAGCTTTAAGTAAACTCGTAATAATAACAACATACCATGCATATATAGTCGTAAGATTAGGTTCCTCCATCCACCCAATGTCTGTCTGTCCACTGTTTGTGTGTGTGTGTGTGTGCGTGTGTGGTCGTAGTCAAATACACAAAAGGGAAAAGATTTATTAGTCAAATGTTTAATTGCTCTCCAACACCTCGATCCCACACGCCCTCCCTGACATCTGAAGCTGAACCAGATTAGGTGCAGGGGTCTGGGATCACTTGGGGACTGCATGACGATGGGTGGATAACGGTTGTCTGCGATTCCGGTAGCTCGGAGAGATTAGCTGCTTTTTTTGGTCTTCAACGGAATGGTAATATCTGGAAGTCTTTGTGCTGTGAGATGTCTTTATGCATACCTATACTTCGAAAAGTAGATATGTAAGTCTCCTTTGGATAGAATAAACTAAAGGAATTGGATAAAGGCCTAAAGGCCCAAAGCTCTAGAAGATCCACAGACTCTACTAGTGTAAAATTTGTCTGAAAAACCTCAAAATTCACTTTTATTTTGCAGGTTAAATCTATTAAGTTCTCTAGACTCTCTGTACCACTTCAGATATCGCTTAAATAGACTAAGAAATGGTATGCCTGTATTTGCCTATGGTCTGAGAGGATTCCTCCACTCGACCCGCTTTGAGGCTAATGAGATCCAGAGAGCAGCCCATTCCCCATTCGAATTCCTATCAACCCTCTGCCGCTTCCACTTATAGATGCTCCTCATTCAAATCCAAATGATTTGGCAAACTGAAGTTAATAATTGCAATTTAAATCAAAACTGATTGAACCGGAAAATCGTTTTCCTCTTTCGGGCGGCTGGCATTTCTCTGTTCTCTGTTCTCAGTTCTCATTACTCTTACCACACGTTGCACAATTGGAAGGAATTCAGGCAGGAGGAAAGGTGGGGCAGCACGAGAAATGGGGGAGAGAGCCAGAGCAACCTTCGGCTGGTTGGTCCCGTGGTCTTTGGCTTTTTTACGTGCTTGCATTTGTTTCATTGGCGTCCATTTCCGATTGCACTCCAGGGAGTCGTAGATGTCAGTTCCCTTCGACTCTGGCGCCGACCGGAGACCCTTCTCCTGCCCGGACACTTCACGCCTGTGTCCATTCCGGCTGGGGTGCGGTGTGTCTGCTAAGCCAGTCAATGTCTTGTCACTTGATCCTTGGGCTTGAGTCTGGGTCCTGGCAAGTCAAGGCATTGATAGAGATTAATTGGTTTCTCCTTACATTTACCATCGATAGGCTGAAAAAGTGACCCGCAGATTGGGAACGGAAGGAGTCCGATAACGAGATTACTTCGATGATTTGCCATCATCAACTCTGCTTGGAATTCCGCTGGAAATGTGAGCTTCCAAGGAACGGAAAGAGAAGGTTCCTTTTTCTGCCTTGTATTACTTATTTATATCAGAAATAATCGCTAATTTAATCGCATATCTTGGGTCCCCCAGTTTGCAGGCAATGCTTATTGAATGTGAAGTGTGTTTAAGTAGATTCCCTCCCCTCTCCACCTGCCTTTTATCCCATTCTTTTCAATGCCATTTGCATTATCTCAGATCTCCCCGACGTCGGGGTCGGGTCTCTCTCCCCATTTAGCACTAAACAAAAGTCATCTTCAAATGGCAACAACTCCGAGCATTGCGTACATACAAAATTTAGCACGGATTTGCCGAAAATAAGGAGGAGAAATTCCGCCGGAGCTGAAGCCATGGAAATTTATGCTCACTCCCCAAAAAAACAAAGCATGCAAAAAAAAAATACAAAAAAATTTTCCCTGGCAGGAAGTAAATTCAATCGTAAACAACGCAATCAAAAATTCATTCAAACGAAGCATTAACGCTTATTCCGTTTAGTCTGTTACCGCGGTGGGGGGTTGGGAGTGTGGCAGGGGGATGCGGGCGGGTTTTGGTCTCATTGTCAGGCAAGTGCAACAGGGTGACGGTCGGCACGGCTCAGAAGAGGACCTGCAACTGTCTGCCTCTTTTTTTTTAATTTTCCAGTTTTTCCTGCGTGTAGCTTTAATAGCCTGTACTCGGAGAACTGAAGGGTATATTAAATGGGATATTATACGATAGAGATATATAATTTAGGAGTCTATTAAATCGATTTTTTGTGTAATAATTATTTTTTCTTTAAATAATAATAATAGCAAAAAAAGAATGCAGCAAAAATATTTCAAAACACTATTTAGTAAATATAAAATATTATTCAGAGTCATATTCTTTCTATATTGTGATGCAAAGGCAGACTTAGTTCTGAATTAATTAAATTTTTTTAATTGGACCTTTATTGTATTATAATTACATTGAAACACCAGACACACAAAAGAGTACTTATAATTATTAAATATTCAAAAAATTAAATAAAATAAAATATTAGAGGTAATGTTCTATATGAAAGACAATTTATTTGAGCAATTTCTGTTGAATTATAAAAACTATGTATTTTTTTAGCAAGACGTTCAATTTAGCTCTCCGGAGACACTGAGTTTACTTGTGACTGTAATACTTGTGAATTTCCGTATCTCCTGCTGAGTGACAGGTATCCCATGGTCGAGACCATCATCTATGGCATGGTGGCTTGGGCACTTAGGCAGGTACATTTATTATGTGGGCACGAGCTGAGGCACAGGAACTGAAGGAAATTTTTTGCAGTTCCGGGCACGTCGCTTCATAATTTTCCATTTCCATCTGTTAAATGGGGAAGCGCCATGAGAAGCCGCGAATAAATTTGTGGGCGTAGAGCGTACCTTCCTCCCACTCCCACTCACACACACAAACACACACACACACACATGCTGTTTCATACGTGTGGCAGGAGGCACTCCACGTGCGGAGCCCCCGAACAATGGGCATGGATAAGTATCCGCGGCAATAAATTTAATTTGCACAGCGAAAACATCGCAAATCCATTTTTTATACCATAAATTCCTCCAGTCCCCAGTGACTGCATTCGGGTTCAGTTCATCCGCCATCCTGTCCACCCCGCCCGACCTGTCGTTGTTCCGTTTTGTTCTGTTTGAGGAACGGATTAATGGATGTGCGAACATGCACATAAAGATGAACACAACGCCCGCTACAAGCGAAAAGAGTCCTGAAAGACCCCGAGGAGGGGGTGGCTTTTCAATTTGAAAAACTGTTAGATTCCGGCTAAGATATATGGTTGAAAGAAGAGCCACCATTGTGTGTAAATTCCAGGGAATTGGATCTTTGGGGAGCTTACATGTGGCTGGAGTTTGTCAAACAGAAACGACATGAAATTAACTTAAATTCGGATAATCTAGTAGTGTCACGGGCCTTTCTTTCATATTAATTTCCACTTATTCCGATCTTGGGATTCTATAAAACTATTGGCATTGGCTTTATATGGCTTTTAGGCTAAAGAATTCTTCTAATTTGTATACTTCAAGCTATATTACCATTTCAGTTGTCAGAATCCGCTCTCATTAACCCACTCTTTGTATTCCAATATCTTCGAGTGCGATGTCTTACCTGATAAACTTAATTACCGGAAATAACTATTATGTATTCCTTCGTTATGAACTGAACTCCAAAATGCACTTGGTTCTTGGCCTGAACTTGTTCATTAGCATCAAATATTCAGACCTGGCCAGCGGATATGCCATAATCTTTAATTTACACTCGATGCTCGACCCAGACATCTGTCTTGATATGAGCACCCTCTCACTCCACCCACTCTGCCCAGTCACTCAATCATAAATATTATTAATAATGTGTGTGGCTTGCGGTCTCTTGGAGTTCGGAGCCAGAGTTCTCTTGGTCTTTGCTGGAGAGCCGAGCCTTCGGGCTAATATATTTAGTTTTGAGGCCAGCCAAAGCGAACTTTGGCATCCCAGAAACTTTCCACACACACACCCGGTCCAGGTCCGAGGGGGATTAGAGGAGGGAGCTGGTGCTGGGAAAGTTTCTGTTTGAATTGGCAAAACTAGAATTTTGCAGCGCGGAAAACTTTTCTCGCATTTGAGTGGTGTTTGCACGGTCCGCCCCCAAGTCATGCGAGTACCCACATATCCCCATCCCCATCCCCATTCCCATCTCATCTTAAATATGAAAGCCACTTAGCGGAATTTCTCTGGAATTTCGCTGGAACCAAATTAAAGTTGTCACATTAGGTAAATGAACGAGGAGAGAGGGAAGGAGTCCTTTGCGGCGAGTGTCAGTTAAAAGCATCGCTCCTTGTTTTAATCTTGAAGAAATAACTTTGGCCTCGGCGATGATAAATCATAAGCAGACCCTCCTTCCAAAAATGGAAGCACAAACAGGGAAAAAAACCACACAAACATAAGGAGGCAGGACCAGCCAGGACACACCGCACCACCAGACCCAGGGCCTCGACAGCCAGACAGACAGACAGCCAGCCAGCCAGTCATTGGGGAGCAGGGGCCCCAACAATATGTGAATATGTTATTTGTTCGGGGAATTGTGAAAATCTCAACAGGTCCCCGCACTTTGCATATTATTTTTAATACGCAGGACAGGACAGCAAGTCGAGCGGCTCCCTTCGCTTCAGTTCCTCTCTGTTCGTTTCGGTTCGGTTTGGCATGGGGGTCGTCTCAGGTCAGAGTTAGTCCATTTTCAGCTACTGGATTCGGGCTGGGCGACTAGCCACAAGCACATTTGGATACTCGTATTTGCCAAGACATTAAGGAACAAGCCACATTTGGCAATACATGGCAGAACTCTCGCTTCACTCCAGGCCAGGCGGCCCTCCCTCATTCAGTCCATGAATCATATTTGGTAAATATTTGCATATATTTCGATGTCCTTTGGTTATTTGGTTCTTAATTTAAAGGCATCTCTGGCTTGGGGGTTCTGGCCAAGTAGACCGCGCAGCTCTCTCAATTTCACTTGCACTTGTCATGAGAGATGGAAGAGTATGATGTCTTTTGTTGTTGGTAGTGTTGATAATGTTCAGACGATAGGCAGAGCAGGGTTGAAATATTCGGAAAATCGAACAAAACTCAGCTTTTAGCCACCACTAGGCGCGTATGATTATCATATGTAAAAAAAACTGTATGTTAAAAAGTAAAACCAAAAACAAAAAACTAAAAAATCAACAATGGAGGCGACATTGCCACACGTTTTTTCGGGCACTCCCCTCAGCAATGGCTTGC